GAGGGCAAAGGACGCTCATATCCCCTCGTGATATGAGTACCTACGCTTCACATTATACGGGCTGAGAACGGAACTCTACTTAAAATTCTAGCAATAGGTCAAATTTCTGTGAGTTCGGTGATATGATTTCAAATGGTTGCAATGCAGACGCGATTAAAGTCATGATTCGGTTAGTGGATCAAATGGAATGAAAAACGACATTTGGGGGAGTCAAAACATGGATTTGTATTGAGAAAGTGATTGCAATCTAAAATATTGCTCTTAGGATCGATCATATTGAAAGGCAATGAAATTAAACAAACGACAAAACTAAGGCATTCTGTGGACGACCAAATTAAAATTTTGTTGGTGGGTTAGAAAGAAACACCGACGTATCAAACATTGCTGCTCAAAAAAAGTAATTCATTTTTAAGATACATCCCTATTAATTCTTTTTCGATTTTTCTTTCAGGTTCAAAAATAGATATCAGCAGGGTATTATATTGTGTTCCTAAAGCTTCTGAAATTAAAGGTTATTATATTGATTAGTGTTCACAATCCGACAAAACTGCGACGTACAACTATTGTAATAAATGCAAGACCTGAGACTAAACAGTTTCGGTCTGTTCGGTAAGCATCAGTACCTTCGCACGCTCTGTTCCTCTGCTGCCATAAGCAGAGGAGTTGACGTATTGTGAGTATTGTGCATACATAAGCAGAGGAGTATTGTGTCCCGAGTTGACGGGACACAATAATGCAGTTGTCTGCTGGGGATATATGCCACTACGGTGTGGATAAATTCATATGAAATTATGAAGATTGCCAATTATTGTGATTGTATTGCGCTTGCAAGCCTCAGCGTTCAGGTGTGTCATAATATAATTAAGTTTCGTTAACTGCGCGCGATATTTTTATTGATTTGTTCGGTTCGTATATTATAGAGTAAAATTGTGTTTACGAGGATTGTATTGTTTACTCGGCATAGACATGTTTATTGATTTGTTTATATAACTAATCATATTTGAAGATTTTTAGGAGAGATCGGATATTACAGGTATAGGTTCAGCAGATGTGCCAAATAACTGGATAATTTAGCACGGTAAAGTTTCAGATTGTACTCTCTTCAAATTTTCGTCATGAACTGAGAGGGAAACATTTTATCTTCTTAACAAGCTATGGATCCAATGTGAATATAAGGGAGTGATATAACTTATGTCTTACGCCGATCATCATTTTTAGGTAATAGTACAAATTTGTCTATGACACTGATTATCATATTATGTAATAGTAAGTATCCCATTTACATTTTGACGGTTTTAACGATTTATGTTTTTTGGGCATTCCTGTTCAGATACGGGCTGGTGAGAACGGAGCCGTTGCTCAACGTACTTCTACATATCCAATCAGCGAAGTATGTGTGTGCAAACTTAATGCGTTCTCCCAGATGAACGGAACCTTCCTGAATGCTAATACCTAAGTCGATGGACGGGGAGAGGTTGTCCCTAGCGGCATTTCAGCCAACTTTAATTTCTAGTTTCAGTGCTGCTGTTGTGAGTTCGTAAGTCCGAATTATAAATTCCGTCGGTACGGAGAATTCCATTTGAAGATAAAATTTAGAGTGCCCCGTGATCGGTTCTTCAGCAAGAACTGACCAGTTAAGTGATCGGATCAATTTTTCATTGCACCTTTTTAGAGGATACAAATAAAGATGTATTTTCCAAAACATTTAAAGACTTAAATTGAAATTAGATTCGGTTAGATATAAGGAACACAGAGAAATTTGAGAAAAAATTTCGAAAAAATATTTGAAATTCTATATCTAACAGCTTGATGACGAAAACGAATCTTCGTCGTCATTTATTCATATTGTTGCTTGTACTTTAGTGACAAATGCTCCTTTTACATTTCTTTTTCAAGTTTTTTGATTAAACTTCACTATGATTGCGATTTAGGTGCCGGAATATTGCATATTCCGGCAACGTTGATATTGCACATTCCTGTGTCGATGATTTTGGACCTACGGCCGACGCACTGCTGGACCTACAGCAGACATTCCTAGCGTTAATGACACTCGAATAAAAAATTCTAGATCAAGTTAACTAATTATTGGAACCCGTCAGGTGGGCCGCTAAATTCTCAAATGATGATGTAGTTCAAAATTCATGATGCTCCCCAGCCTACATAAAGATATGTGATATAAATTTACATGTTCATGATTTTATTTAATAGTTACCATGATACACACTTTGATTTTTATTTCAATTTCGTAGCGACTACTTTTTTCTCATCCTAAATATAGTATATAATAAATATTAGTATAATATTATTATAATGTATAAATCTTATATTTTGAGGCCAGAAGTCACTGCATTGTGACATGACTTTTTAATCACACGTAAAAAAGTGAAATAAAATTATATACTGAACTATGCAAGAATGAATTTTCTTTCAACACCAATTAAACCCTTGTGAAGAACATTTATTGTCAATCGCGAATGTATATTCCTTTTTTTATTGATAAAAACTCGTTACATGGCGTCTCGGTACGAATAGCATAGACGACGAATAAATAATGTTTTCAGACAGAAGGCTAAAGTGGCTAACTTGACTCCAGGTGTTTCTAACTAATAAAATTGGCCTTGAAATGACACTAAAATACCGTAAGAATTGAACATAAGCTCGAACATTTTTATATTGAACTTAAAATTTGAAGAAGCACGAAAACTACATCCCGCAATAAATATAATGAAATTAATGTGTTGCGTGGTTGTTTGATGTTCATTGGATTCTATAGAAAAATAAAAAAATAAAAGACGAATTTACCGTATAACACGAAAAAACCATGAGTGAAATTGTTTGGAGTTTCTCGGATAAAATTAATTGCAAACACAAGCGTACTCCTCATTACATGATTAATTGTATTCTCACCATAATAAACCAAAAGTATTGTGAAGTTAAGAGAGTTAACAGTAGTAGCAGATTTAATAAATAAGAATTTGGACGTCAAAGCTCGTCCCACACGTCGCAGAGAAGCCAATTTAAATTTCTCACATTATTTACGTATATATATTTATTTGCTTTATATATTAGTGGAATGTTTCTTCGCTCCGCGAATACGATAAGTATCTAGTGAGTTAATTAATCTGCTTCACATTCATTTCTAATGAACGATAATATTTTGAATGTCATAAGCGAGAACAAGTTACGGATTAATACAGTTGTGCGTAGATATAACTGTGGTAGATACAAAAAAAAGATAGGCAATTCTTTGGCTTCTATAAACGAGATACATGCTGGAGAGCTTTGCAATTCCCTGGAAAAACATTCAGAATAAATATACTCAATGATCTATACTCATCTCATCTAATATACTCATTGATCTACATTCAGAATAAATATACCCATTGATCTATACTCATCTCATCTAATATACTCAAGGATCTACTTTCAGAATAAATATACTCATAAGTCTAAGAATTTGATTCTGAGAACGAGTTCTGAGAAATGCCCCTCGAACAAAGAACCGTTCAATTAGATGATTGGACCGACATTTAAGAGGCTCGGCCAAACAGCATCGCTTCATTCACTTGCGCTGACCTGATGAAGGTTGGTTGTGAGTCGTTGCATGCTAACATTGCAAATTCTTATCATCTTTCGAGGATTTTTCTCTGCACTAAATATTGATGGAATTAAATAAAAATTTGAAAATGTTGTGGTAGGAGACTGTTTTGATAACCCAGTATAAGATCCACTAGAGGAAGTTATTGTCGCAAAAAAATATCAAGCTAATACGCCACCATGAATAAGATTTTTATTATCAACAAAAGTCTCTCAGGAACGTAGTGCAAAGTTAAAATTGAAGTAACGACATCATTAGATTAATATATATTTTTATTTGTGAATTAAGATATCTTTTATATTTCCGGTAAATAATTTCTCGCCGGCCAGGCAATTTTGTAACGAATAGTATTAAACAATGTGCAGGCGATACACATTTTTACCGCACGTTCTATCAAATACGAAGCTCCTCATGGAATTCTCACGGCATCATAGATGAACCATTATTAGCATCTGATATTTTTTCGAGGCAATAATCTTCATGAAGTTTATTCAGCTGGCAATCTTTCTCCATTACTCAAACAAAACATTCGCTCTCTTCTGGATTGCTGAGTGCAAAGGAACCGATTGCACTTAGAGCTCGTGCCAGTCCAAGACCATGCATGTTGAGAGCGAGCTCAAGTGTGGGCTTTTCAGCAGCACAAAGAACTGTAACTTCTTCTATTTTGAGAATGGTAAGTCAATCACGTCAATAAATTTTTAAAGTGTTCCGGAGGATTTCGGAAAGTCTCTGCAGAAAACTGTTTCACTTTTAGGTTAAAAAATTTAGCTAGCCGACGAAACCGACAGCACATACGTCGCTATTAGGATAGAAATTTATTTATCTGAACTAGCGTTCAGACTGCATGATCCAACATGCGTAATATATTGAGTTGTGATTGATCAGATGGGACAGCAGTAGGATTTTATTTGTATTATTTTGACGATCGCTTTTCTGCTATCATAATCGAAGTATGGAAAAGAATGTCTTTTGAACCTGAACAAAGTCCATCCGATTTCATTAAAATTTGCACAGATTTTTGTCGCATTTAGATTCGCCAAAAAAGGCTTTTGGACAAAGTATTGTTTGCTGATCAAGACAAAGTGATATGTACTTGTAGTCTTGCTTGAAAAAGTTTGAAATTATTTCAATGCATCAACATTCTTTCTCATGAGTTTGCATTTGTTCAAGAACGTACAAGAAGGCATCATTGATCGTAATTTATGTAAGAGTCTTATCTTTATTTCTTATTGGTGTCATTAAGGACACGCAAATAGAATGAGATATGAATATTCCAACAGATACAAGGAGATAAAAATATCAATTTACCAATAAATCGAAAGATTTACGAAACAGTTTGTATATTTGTTTACATTCGTGTGTACTGGCTACCCAGCCGCTGTGCCTGCCGTCATTTACAAACCCCGGGAGCTCGAGGCAGCTCCGAACGCGCTCGGGGCAAACCAGCAACCGCTACGCCTGCTTGCATGGATCTGTAAGTAAAATATCTACGTATAATTGATCGCATCAATATATTTGCGATGTCATCCCACAAGGAAAACATAATTATCACCAAATGCTTGAGTAAACCATCATTATTCGCCATGTATTAGAATTTAATGTAGAATTGTTTATTTAAAAAATTGCCATTATGACTACTGACAAAGTGTAGAATTTTCGCAAGGAAATTACACAGCTGTTAATTTCCTTAATTTTTAAACGGTTGTTGAATGAATAACTTATATCTGCCATAAATTTGCATCATATAATACCTGATTTCTCTCTAGCAAATGATCATGTTTGAGTTAGAAAATATAAAAAAAGCCGTTGATCAAGTCATTAGCAACTTCAGAAGGTCGCTCGATATGAGATCGAAGCACTCGGCGTGGTGTCAGCGTCAGTATCTTGATAAAGCGCAACGGAAGTTTGGTGGCGATGGAAGTTAAACTGGGAATTAATTTAGAAACTGTTTTAGTTAAATGTGTAAAAATCTGATGATTGGTAGAAGTTTGTTCAGTGATATTGGGTTGCCGTAAATTTTATATACAATCCAAAATTCCTCTGAAGGATTACCAACCTTTTGAACTGTTGACGTTGGCAGCTGAATTACGTCAACAGTTGCAGCTGAATTAGTGACTTAAACGCCTCCTAATGATCAGAGTATTAGTGAGTGAATGATCGGCCAAACCAAGTCAAGCTTCTGGTTGAGTCAGCAGAGTACTTCTAGACGACCCAACTTATAGAAATCACAGGAACGACGGCTAAGTAAGACTATTGGGATCAGCCAAAGGCATAGGACCTTTTGGATTCTAGCGAATTGACAGTTTGGATCTTCAGTAAGATGACAGGAATGCTTACATTGACCGAACCAATGACGCTGTGGGCATTATTAGCGCATTTTCTCATTTATGGAAAAAATGCGCTATTGTGCTCGCCATGTCCGTCTGTCCGTCTGTCTGTCTGTCTGTCCGTCCGTCTGTCCGTGACCTCAAGTTTTCGTCGACGAGAAAATGCGCTCTCTGTCACTCACTGCAGTGAGTACTGAGTTATATTTTTATTCAAAGTACTCACTTTCGTGCTTCTAAATCAAATTCCACCAGCTCTGCGAAATCAAATACCTATATAAATTCATTCTACCTATTCTTCCTTTTATTAACATGGAACATTGTTTCTCCTTCTCGAAACTGCAATTCGTAAATATATTTTTTACGTTCCATTCGTCTCACGAAATTTTACCCAAATGCAATCTGCACCAATTTAAATTGTTACTTCTACTTTACCTCAAACTGTTTAACATTGTTTCAGAATGAAGTAAAATTTCACATTTTTCTGCTTTCGGCTAACGTTATGTGGCTTAACTTTGAAGTGACTGTTCAGCGTAATTTTTCGTTCATTGCTTAGCGACGTTGGACGAACCGTCGACCGAGATAACTCCACTTATTATCATTCATCGGATGATGTAATTTACGATCAGCCTTGAATTCTCCTTGACTTGAAGAGCTGGCTGCTGGTGGACAAGATCCACATTCTGCCGTCCGCATTACGTATGAATCATTCCGCTCGGTTCATAGATGTCCTGGGGCCGTATTATCAAAACTTCGTAACTTTTTGTACTTCCGACAAAAAAGTTACGTGTTACGTAAGTAAACCCTAATTTTGGCATTATCAAATTGGCGTGCAATATGTTAAATTACCAGAACAATTATTATCTTCAATACTAAATGAACTACATCCAAATTTTTGACGAATCGACTTCTTTTGTTCGCTTATATTGATTTTCAGAACTCAGGCATCAAAACTGAATTTTCATGATAATTTATAATGGATTATTACGTGTTTTACAAATAAGAGCTCAAATAGGAAAGTATTCGGTTTCTATTAATTCTTTTAACTAAGTTTGGGGTTTTCATACGTTTCAGATTTGAAAGATAGTTGTAGAAAGAATCGTAACCTTGATTGTTAGGTACGATAGTGCAAACAAAAGTTATTGCGGTGATGGAGAGTGAAGAGAAGGCTCCTTTTATATAGAGCCGCACCATTTGAATTAATAAAATTAAGACAACTAATTACTTTTTGATATTTAGTAGTACCTTTGTTATGAAACATTAGATTTTGGGGCTTGGGCATGTCATAGGCATATCATTTATTTTGTTTGTACGATGTAGGCATGTCATCAATTTGTGAATGGCTTACAGAGGCATGTCATGTAATTTGTTTGTTCTCTAATATGAGGATATCCTAAAGTTTTACGCCGAAGATCGATTCGAATATGTACTACATTGCTATGTGCCTGTGCGATTACTTAATAGACATTTCCATCGCTTATATATGAAATTTTCATTTCAAGATCATCGTCAAATGAGGACAAACAAGTTAATCCAAGTCAAATATCGTAGATTATAATAAAAATATAATAACTTGGTCGTTGGATGGCTCAAAAATTTTTGGACTAATTTTAATATGTTCGAATTTTACGCAGGTTTGTATTACTTTTTAGAAGGATTAAAAGTTGGAGATGGTTAGCGATATCAACTTACTCGTATGTATACTTACAACAGAGCTCTATAATAAAAAGATGAATTAAAAAATGATATTAAAGTGAAAATATTTCCTGTACATGATTTTGTTAATCCACCAAAGTGTGCCTGAATTTGATAAGAATTGAAAATGTATAGTTTAGAGGACATGAGATGGACTGTATGGATTTCACGACTGAAGACTGAAGTTATTGTCTGAAAGCCAGAGAAGAATAATAAAGCACCCTGTTGATTGAAGCTTATTTTTTGCACTTAAAACTGCAAAAAATAACCTTTGCCGAATATACTATGTTTTTTCTTTACCATTACATTCAAGTGTTCAATGATATCCTGAGTTATTACTTTAACCAGTCTTGAAAATATTTTCAATTAAATTCATTAAATAGCCCGGCAGCAGTCCTAGCGAGTTTTCTTGTTATTGCCGCTAGCTCTCCCGGGATTTCCTCTAGAGGTAAGAGGACTGCAAGTCCAGCGAGTAATAATTTCCAGTCTTCGCTGGCCTCTCATGAAAGTCCAAAGTCAAATGTAATGTATTTTTCTAATTTAATAATACAGATATAACATGAATATAATTAAAATTAATTTTACGCTGGCATGCAAATTATTCATAAAAAATAAAAAGGCTGTTGTTAATGCAACACGTTAATTACCCTCACGAAGATCGCGTTCACAAATTATTTGAGGCTAAAATTAGTATTCAGTTTTCAGATTAGGTCTTAAGAGCAAAGAAGCAGACTTAACGCTGTTGGACATGGTGATGGAGCGAAGAAAAAAGCTTTCAAAGCTTTTACGTTGTCGCTTAATCTATCAATTCTTACTTATATGATTTTTATGGTCCCGTTCCCCTCAGGACACGCCAAATTAGGTCACAATTTGCGTACTTTTTATCGCATTTATACATCAAACTGTGAACTTTAAGCTAACTTTTGTTAAGGGGTTGATTTTGCAAATCATTGAACCTGATGAAAACATTGAACAATTCTTGTAAAGAAATTCAATGACAATAAACGTTAACAAAAATTACTAACATGAAGCTAGAAGTAGCAATAAAACCAGGTAAATTGCTGCGATAATAATTTTTTTCCTTCATTTCCCAACTGAATGAGATAAGCAGACTAAAAGACCGCTGTAGCCTGGCTGGGCTGAGAGAAGGCAGTCGGCTTGACCCCAACCCCACCACGGGCTTGCTCCGTAGCCCTCGTTCACATGCAGTTTCGTTCAGTGCTGCCTCAATACAAACAAATGTATAAAATAAATTGTAGACATTGAATATATCTCTCAAATAAACAGGATAGAATTTATATAAGTTATCCCGTATTTATTACTAAATAAAAAATTTTGATTCAAATATATATATTTATTATGTGAAAATATTTATCAATTATCCCTTCAAGTTTAAGCGTTTGGCACAGCCCTTTAATTTATTATGAATAATTCGTGGACCAGCGTGCAACTAATAGTAATTACATTCATATTATATCTGTTTGATTAACCTAGAGAAATGCACACCTTGGTGTCGTATCTGTTGATATGTTCATATATTATTAAAAAATTAAAATTTCACTCAAAAAACAGCGATCACTTCAATAACAATATTGCGCGCTCGCCGATTATTTTCAAAATAAAATTTTTGTTTAGATGAACCGTGATGCGTATATTTGAAGTAAACTCTATTGGAATTGTTAAGGCGTGCTATGAAAATAGCGAGATGGTTCACTCATATCTTTGTCAAGAATATATATTGTCAATAATTTTTTTGCATTTGATCAATTACTACATTGTGTTGCTCGATTTTTATCTATGATGATTCCATCGCTTTTGAATAAGATTTACGATAGTATGGTCTATAATCAATAAGATAATTTGATAAAAACGTTGAAAAGTTACTAATATTGAAGTTAAAGCCTAAATGTTTGATGAAAACTAGTGTATGTAATGATTTCATCACACTACCGAGTGGATTTGAATGCGCTCTGCTGTCTTACATCGAAAATGCGAGATATAAGTAAATTATTTCTCAACTAAATAATGAACCATTTGTCAGGAAGACGTTTGCACTGTATGCAATAAAAGAATATTTATTTTTCGTCTTCCTCACAAGTTGATGAGTTGCTTGGGATGCCTAGATAAATTTCATTTCAAAAAATGTTCCCTCCTACATATAATAACAGAAAAATGGCGCATAACTTTGCGACGTGCGGGATTTATGGTCAAAAAGCATATCTAGAGTTTATATTAGTTGAAGTCTAGAGTTCATGATGATGCGTCGCCTTGCCGCACTATCATGAACTAATTAATGTACTGCGAATGGCGACTAAATTGCAAAGAGCAGAGTTATTAAACTCCCTTGACTGAGGTTTCTTATATGCATTTGACAATGTAAGGATTTTTTTTTGCAATTGATTGCAACTACAACATATTTGTTCAGAATATTATTCAGATTCGATAATTT